CACCGCGCCCCGAGCCCGGCCCCCCTCACACCGAGCCCGGCCCCCCTCACACCGAGCCCGGCCCCGAGCCCGGCCCCCCTCACACCGCGGCCCCGAGCCCGGCCCCCCTCACACCGCGGCCCGAGCCCGGCCCCCTCACACCGCGACCCCGAGCCCGGCCCCCCACCAGCGCGGCCCCTCGGCGCTGAGGCAGCAGGGCCCCGAGCCCGCAGCACAGGCCGGGCTCGCTGGGAGCCTCCCGGGACCGGCCCAGCTCACAGGCCCGGCGGCTCCGGGTTCGGTGTCGGGGCGGGCTGCTCCCCGCAGCCCCGACGGAGGGGCCCGTCCCCCGCGGGGCCCCGCACTCACCGGCCAGGCCCCCTCGCTGCCTCCCGCGGCCCCCACAACCATAACAAAGCTCTGCCCAAAATGGCTGCCCGGCCGGGGGCCGGAGGGGGAGGGGCTGGCGCGTGGGGACACACCCACCTGGCGCGGTCTGGCCGCGCGCCTCTCCCGGTTCGGCGCGGGACGCTCCCTGGGGTGGGGGTGGGCGCCACGGCGCGTGCTCGACGGACGGACGGGCGCGCGCGCGCGCTCGAGCGAATACGGCTCTCTCCAGTGTCTACCTCGGCCACTCCGTGCGCGCGCCCGCCCGTGCTGCCTCGACACGCCCCCCCAACTTCTCCAGGCGGCTCGCGCTCCCGCTCTGTTTGTGTCTGTCATGGGGGGGGGGGAGGTCGGATTGCTTCCCCCCCCCGCGAGACTCCAAGTTCCGGGATGCACTGCGCCACCTGCCTCACCCTTTGTGAGGGGCCCACCATCGTAGTGCATGCTGGGATTTGTAGTCCCTTCCCTCCCTTTAAAGTGAGAGACTCAACCTCTGTGGAAGGAAGCCAAGTACAGTACTGTCATCCTAGAAAGCAAGCACGTGCCCCGCCCCTCCGCCACAGCAGCGAGGCGATTCAGACAGTGGCAGAGTAGACAGGCAGGCTGAGGCTTTGTGTATAAATCAATCCTTCCTTCCTGTTCTACAGATATTGCCTCAGTGGGACAGGGAGGCAGCAGAACTACAACAGGCCGCAGAAATAATTGGGGGAAGGCACAGCAGTGGCTTTACATTCAGCAAGAGCCGCTTCGCAATCAACCTGGACGCAGAGAAATTATGCCCCAGAGACACTTCCAGCAAAAGGCAGTTGCAGGGGAAGGAGGAAGATTCCTCCGCTGCTGGAATAATGCTTAGTGTCATTTATCTCTACCATGTTCTGCAAACCTTAGCTAATCTTCACAGAAACCACTGGAACGCCATCAGGCCCAGCACGCAACAGACATTCAGCGTAACGGTTGCAGAAAAAGATAAAGAAAAGTGACCTCACCGTTGGTGGTAGCTCCCACGGCCAGCCCTGAAAGAGGCATAAATACAAGACACACAAATACATGAACTCGAATAAGAGCCTGGTGTGGCTGGAAAGCTTGTCTCTCTCACCAACAGCAGTTGGTCCAATAAAGGACCTCACCCACTTTAGCTTTCAAATAAGTTAACTGGTTAGTCAAGGTCTGGGTAGCACTTTGAACATGTCAAGCATGTGTGCCAATTGTTACTGTCGCTACACCGCAAAGCTGGTGCTTGAGAACTGTATGCTAAGTGCATTCTGATTGCGCAGAACTGCTTGCAGTTTTAATTTAAATAAATTGGACTAGAGAACTGGGACATCACCCTCTAAGCCAAACCAGGCTCTGATCCTGCACCCATGCAAGTGCTTTATCCAGGCCCTTGATTTTTAGGGGGAGGGGGTGTGCCTGACTCATGCTTTTTGACTGTACTGATCGCCTGCATACAATCATAGACTATCAGGGTTGGAAGGGACCTCAGGAGGTCATCTAGTCCAACCCCCTGCTCAAAGCAGGACCAATCCCCAGACAGATTTTTGCCCCAGATCCCTAAATGGCCTCCTTAAGGATTGAACTCACAACCCTGGGTTTAAGTATCAGGGGGTCGCCGGGTTAGTCTGTATCTACAAAAACAACAAGGAGTCCGGTGGCACCTTAAAGACTAACAGATTTATTTGGGCATAAGCTTTCGTGAGTAAAAACCTCACTTCTTCGGATGCATCCCAAGAAGCGAGGTTTTTACTCAGGAAAGCTTATGCCCAAATAAATCTGTTAACCCTGGGTTTAGCAGGTCAATGCTCAAACCGCTAGAGCTACCCTTCTCCTGCAATGGAAATACTGACATTGCCTAAGTCATGCCCAGCATAACCTGTCTGGAATCGCCTTTTCCATCAGAGAGATACATTGTTGTCTTTTTCTTTAATATCAATTCTCCTCCCTTTAGAATTGATACCTTTTAACCCCGCCACTCCCACCCTCTCCACTGCTGGAAAACTCGGGGCAAGGCGAGCTTGTTGTAACGCCCGAGCCCTGGATGCACAGCCCGTCTGGGGAGCGGAACTAGAGCGCCTGGCCCAGGCTCTGGGCTGGGGCTCTCCACCCCGCGCACACGGGAAGCCCTGCTCCTGCTGCCGGATGCTGCATCCCTTCCCAGCCCCTGCACGGGAAGCCGGTTGCTGCTGCGGGTGGCCGTGCACCGTGGGAGGGTGAGTGAGGGCAGCGGGACGGGGTGGGGCGCTGCCGGGCTCCCCGGGGGGAAGGCGCCTCTGCACGTAGGGGTTGATTTCCTGGAGCTCTCTGCAGGGAGAAGAGGCTCTAGTGGGGGGGTTTGCACAGCAGCTAGGGCAAGGAAACGGATCCAGACTGCGGCCTCCGGCTACACCCAGACCATCCGTATCTATTAGTGTTAATTACAATAGAGCGGGGGGCTTCCGGGGCTCAGTTCCCACCTCTGCCCCAGACTTTCTCTGGGCAAATGACTTAGTCTCTTCCACAGTTCCCCGTGAATGCTGCGTTGGCTATTTAGATTGTAAACGCTTCGTTTTACAACGCGAGCCCCTCGGTTGGGGCTGCTAGATGCTTTTAATACACAGTGGAGCCATTTAAAATGTTTATTTGTAATCACACTTATCTTCTCTAGGTGTTTTTCTTTTTTTAAAGGAACAGTGGTAATATTACCTAGAAACTGCCAACCTTTAGAGGAATTTTTTGGGTAGGATTAGTGGATTCAATTTGGGGCTGGGAGACGGAATTCTAATTCCAGCTCTATCATCCACCAGCTCAATGACTTGACAAAGCATTTACACTTTGTCAGTTTCCCCATCTGGAAAATGGAGCTATTTTCCTACTTCAGGGGCACCTTGAGATATAATTAGGCCCTGATCTGGCACTAAAATGCATTACAAGTTAATGACCTTAGCTTGTAAAGTGACTTGAAAACTGTAAAAGTTCAATATAATTAATTGGCTATAGGAGTACAGCAGATATGTTATTAGCTGTACAGTGATAAAAATCAAGATGCATAGTCCTGATCTGCTTCCTCTTACTTACAAGACAAAACGGTCAATAGGGAAAACAAATTGTTGTAGTAACTTATACTGAGACATGCTCTAAACTTGGATATTCTACCTAGTATAGAATGTCACTAAGTTGATTCTCCTGGCTTTTTTTTTTTCATCCCTTAGGGCCTTCTGCTAAGGCAAATATGTTTCACCTTGTACAGCGATGTTGTTCCCACATACCTTTAAAAGTAAGTTTCTAATGTGTTATCTACTTTATCCTGAAATAGCTTTCAAAACAAAACCAAACAGGAGGCAAAGCATCTTGGGTATAAAACACAGTTGGCTCACAGTTTACAACAGACTGAGGTTTCATTTTATCATATTTATTTTTTTCCAAAGGAACTTTTCTAATGTTTAAAATGTACAGAATTGTAAACCATTTCCCCCCTGATTTTTGCCTGGCATAATTGAACCGCAACTCAGCCCCATGGCTTTATCACAGGCTTATTGATATGTTTTGTCACTGGTATTTGATAGCTGTTAAAATTAAAGAGACAAATCCTCCCTTCAGTTGTGTCTCTGTAACCATACTGAAATCAGTGGGGTTTAAGAACTCAAGTGTATAGTCTGGATCATATATGCACCACAAATTCCTCTTCACTGAAACAGTTATAACATCATGGTGATGATACAGTCTCCACCCTCTCAGGTCACAATCTGCAAAGTATTTTTTAGAAGTTGCGTAGCTGCTCTCTTTTGATTGAATATAAAGAAGGCAGAAAGGCATTGTGCTTTTTCCTCAGCAACTTCAGGAATGTCAATTTTTGCAAGAGGGCCTCAGGGCGATCACAGGGGTGTTTATTGTGAGCTCTCGCATCTTAATTGTTAAGGTGAAGGTGCTTAATCCTTAACACAGACTTTCTTTATCCAAAATCTTAGTCAATTAAACGTAAATTAAAGGTGTTTCAAAACAAGTTTTTAAAGTGACTAACAATCCTTTCCCCTTTCACTTACTCTCTGTTCTGTTGGCTCTAATGATATCATTGCACTAGTTCCCTACTCATCATAGAAACTTCTGCTCTAAGGAGGGCTTGAATTTCTAATGTGAAAACACAAGAAAGGAACATAGTTGGAGGAAACCTTTCAGGCCTTCTTTATTCACCCTACAGCAGCAAAAAGAACACAAGCGCAGACAATCTCTTCGCAGATCACGGCCATGTCAGAAACAGGGGAGGAAGGCAGCTATTTCTGTAACCTCTGTGTAATGTTTGCTACTGTTTGTGTTAGAATGTAGTGAAACAGCCAACTTCTCATAAAAGCAGCAGTGCCCTTTCAGTCAGGGGTTCTCAAACTGGGGGTTGGGACCCCTCAGGGGGTCATGAGGTTATGTGGGGGGGTCATAAGCTGTCAGCCTCCACCCCAAGCCCCGCTTTGCCTCCAGCATTTATAATGGTGTTATAAATTAAACACACTTTTTTATATATTTAAGGGGGGGGTTGCACTCAGAGGCTTCCTGTGTGAAAGGGGTCACCAGTACAAAAGTTTGAGAATCACTGCTTTAAGTGAAGGGGGGGGGGGAATCTTTATAAACCTATTAACATACTAGACAGTAGATTTCCACAGATGGCCTTAGTTTTATATAGGGTATAACTAATCATGTCTCCAGGCTAACAAGTGCTTGTCAGATGCGCTTAATAAGTTTTGTAATTGCAGCTCCAGAAGTTGACCCTTCACAGACTACTACAGTATGGAAGGAATAAGACCATTTGTTCTTCTCCTCCCAGTCTCCCTCTGCAGAGAGTTCTTTCCCGTCCGTCGAGATCTCAGCTCCTCACCCAGGCCTCGGCCTGTGTAACCAAGGCCCAGGAATTCCATTGCTCCCTCCGCTGCTTAAAGAAAAAGAAACCAAAAGAACCTGAACCTCAACAACTGGGGCTTCTGCGCCATGATATGAGGTCACTAAAGGACTCACCAAAGCCTGCCGTTTACCTGGGCCTTGCAGGGTTGATTCCATTTGTTTCAGTGCCGGTGATAATGGCTATCCAACAGACCTACTACCCTGAGCTGGCATTTGCTCAAATGACATATGGGGCCACTATAGTCTCTTTTCTAGGAGGAGTCAGGTGGGGATTTGCTCTCCCAGAAAATAGCCCAGCCAAGCCTGATTGGATGAACTTGGGGAACAGTATAGTTCCCCCTTTATTAGCCTGGTTTGCCATACTTTTTAAAGATGACCTCACTCCAGCTGCAATCATGGTGATAATTGGTTTAGGGATAGCACTGCATTATGACCTTGCCCTTCTTCCTACTTATCCCAGCTGGTTTAAAGCCCTAAGGGTATTACTAACGCTGGTGGCAATATTTTCATTGGTAGTTACCTTGGGACTTATGGATGTTTATCCAGAAAAGCAGCTAAGTAACAGTGCAAGTAAAAGTAAGTGAAACATCATAAACCAACAGACAAGAATTTTTTTTTTCTGTCAAGCCCCTGCAGAGTTTTGTATGAAGTTCTAATAGGAGTAAAATAAACTGCTTAGCTTCTCTATGCTTCCAGGACTACATGCTTACTTTGGGAGCAACCAGTTTCCAAGCAAGTTAAGCAAAGAATGATTTATATATACATTATTCACTCTCTTTAGCTTGTTTTCAAGGCAGTATGCATCTTCCCTTATTTGTACAGCAAGAGCCCAATCCTGACTGAGATCTTTGGGTACTACTGTAATATACATTTAAATGTTTGGGAATAGATTGAACTGATGTATTATAAAGAATAATCATTAAAACAAGGATGGGTCAAGAGGCTTAATTATAAGGTGTGCCAAGTTCTGCAATGAAGGAATAAGGTCGTAGCTTTTGTAAACATTAGAAGCCTTTTGGCTGAAAACCATGGGATGAAAGCACTTCCTGTTCCCCCTGAAAATGGAACAATGACTGCACTATATTTAAGTTTGTAGACAATTGGAAGATTCATGATGTGCAAGGTTATGATATGTACAGTGCTTTTTTTTTGTAATGCTGTTTGTAAATACCACACCTACACCCCCATAGGACAAGATTCTTCCCTGACCCAAATTCTACTGATGAGAAAATATACGCTAAACATGGTAAATGATTTAAGAGTTGGTTTGTCATGTCAAGCTTGAGATCAGTGTTTATCTAAAGAGTGTCAGAGACCCTAAGAGCACCCCAAGCCCAAACGGCACACTGTCATGATATTTACACAAAAGATGGCATGTAATATATCTTTGGAAAACTAATAACTCACTGAGCATTAATATTCTTGCATGATATATGTATGGTCAACCCCCAGAGAACTTTACAGCTATTTCCAGAATATGTGACTAAAATGTGTTTAAACCGGGTAGGGCAGGGCAGGGCAATTGATAAACAAGTTTTCTCCAGACAAAGGAAACAGGCCAATGCCTTAAACCAGGAGTGGCCAAATTAACTGAGCTATTCATTTGTATCAGAGGTTGCAGGAAGAGATCACTTGCATTATAAAAATCACCCGCAGGGAAGAAGACAGCACGGTGTCCACACCCAGCAAGGAAAAGGAACTTTATCTGGGGATGAGTTTCAGCAGAATACATTTCAGAGGTTTACTGGACTACAAGGAGAGGGGGACTGAACCCCTAAGTTATCCTTCACCCAAGGAAACAAAGGAACATGAGCTTAGCCATGAGTATAAAATAAGGATTTCAGTTAGGATAAATCATGTCACTCTTCCATTAGCTGTAAGGGTGCAGTAGAACATTATGAACTACTACTAGCCACTGGCCATAGGTGTAATGTTATGGGGGGTTCACCCAGACCAATAAGGGGTTCTGTCAGCACCTTCCCTGTAACTATGGGTGCTTCTGGGCTGTGCAGCTTTGGCTCAGAGCCCCAGCACGAAGCCCTCACCCTGCCATCTTGCAGGGTGACACTAACAGCTCCTCCCATTCTGAGTCTCCCCAAAACCACCTCCCCTGCAGCAGCCAGTCCTGCTCACTGAATACTCACACACGTTCAGTTCACTGCCTCCAAAGCGACAGAGCACACACAAGTCTGTTAGTTTTGCTGAGGACTTCAGTTCAATACACAGCACAGATGGGGGTTTTGCAATAAAACAAGAGTATGTTAATTAACAAAGAACAGAGATTTAAGAGATAAGAAAGAATAGATGATAGAGATGGTTACAAGTAAAAAGAACAAAACATCTTTTCTAGTGGCTAAAACTCAGTTTCAACAAGTTACACTGTACGATTTCTCACTTATAGTCAGTTCCAGCTACTCTCTGTTTTCAGGCCCAGAGGATCCACTCTTCATGCACTGAAAGGGCACAGCTCCCGCTTTGTGATGGATGCCAAAATGGCTTTCTGCTTTGGCTTATATTTCCCAAAAATCTATTGTCTCTGTTTCATGAGCCAGGAACGCTTCCTGAGCAGGCACCATCCCTTATTGTGATCATAAAGTGGTCTTCCCCCATGCTCCTTTAGGTTGATGGGTTTGTTTACCATATATGTAGATGTACTTTTCTTTGTCCTTTCAGGTATTATCTGGCTTCAATTAAATTGCAGACAGGAAAACAGGTGAAAACATTCCTTTGTCTAGGATAGACTGGGCTTGTGCACTGCTTGCAAAACACTGGTTAAGAATATATTTCCAGCCCACATCTCTGATTCTTCAGACACCACCCACACATACATCACGCACTAGTATTAACGACTAGTGTGTTACCAGTTTGCAGATACCACCTTACGTAACACCTTTTAGATACAGATTATGATGACAACAGTGTGTAGGGGCAATGTGTGTCATGCTTGATGTGAGTTATGGAATGGCGTGCCTCCTGCCAGCTGGCATTGCTCCCTGGCTCACAGTAGGCAACCCAAGCAGTTTTTTTGCACAGAAATCTAGTCGTAGTACCCTAGTAGGGGCTGAGCAACTACACACTGGATGGGTTAAGTCTGTTTTTTGTTCGCCACTCGGTACATTTGTAAACTGTAGATGCTTCACAATGGGTTGAGTGTTAAATGTGCTAGAGAAGTATAGTGCAAGCTTCTCTACAGTAATCTTTTCATGCCCCTCCTTCCTGCTATAGCCAACTAAGGCGAAAAATTTTAAGTGGGTGATGGCTGTGTAATATAAACGTAATGGACTTTCGGGTGTGGCCTAAGCCAATGTTCCATCAGTAGAAATCCAGCTAGCAGTAGGTATAAATGCTTGAAAGTGAAAAGTCTGCAGTAAATGGATATTTAAAGGTAAGCTGCACAGGTTTTACCAATACTTAGATCCCAACGAAGAAGGGAGTTTAGGGATGATGTTCACATGTATAATGCGGTAGGATTGCATTTTAACAGAATTACCTCCCTACAACCTCCAGTTGTAGCCACCAGTTTCCTTGTTCCTTCAGAAAAGGAATGAGCCGTATCTACTACAGATATGAAAGGGGTATAGAAGAGGATGGTTCCCTCTTTCTAAGATTCGTGAGCTATTTACACTGCCAGAACCATGACAACCTGCAAAGTCTGTAGCTCTTAAAGAATGCAACCATCTCCCCTTATATAGCACTAATTAGTGTAACACTTGCTACATCCCTTAACCGCTAGGATTTTCAGAGGAGGTTCTGTTAAACTTTTGCACCTTTAACAGCAGACCCTGGAAATAGTGATATGTTGTTTGGCTGCAGAGGAAGTAAAATTGAATTTTTAAAGAAAAGCAAAGTTCACTGTTTCACTCCCTCTTATTCAACATGGCTGTTTGATAAACATAAGCAAGAGATCCATGGCAGCACAGTCTGGTATGAGGCGATTGTAGAAGCTGTCCCACCTCTTATGGGCAAGACTAGGTATGTGGTGGCGGCAGTAGATTGCAAACCCACAACCGTCAGCCAGCAGATGAAAGTCATGAGCACTGGTCAAAGGGACTATTCCATGGTACAACAGAAATGCCTCGCTGACTCCAGCATGAGGGAGATAAGGAGCTGGCGGAAGAGACCATAATAAATTAAGCCTGCAGGACCCAACTGAAATCTTCATAGTATCCAAATGTGGGAAGCATGGGAATCTTCAGATGCTTGATTGTAATACATTTCCCTCTTCAGCTCTTTTCAATCAGGAGGCAGCATGCAGGACAGGTTAGCTATCCAATTAGCCCTCATTTCCCAAAGATCCTTTAAATCAAAGGATCTCACCAGTAGTAAGGAAATAAAATATTTATTGTATTTCAGAAGCACATTTCTTTGTAACTTAAAAACAACCTGTCAATGTTTACCTGGTTTTTCCTCAATGTTAGTCAGAAGTTAAACAAGAAGTTTCAACAAGAAAATCAAACTCATTTTTGTTACAGATAACAGCAATGCCACTCGCCATCATTACTAAAAAAAAAAAAAAAAGCACTCAGTGTAAAAACCACACAGTTCCACCATTACTTAGGTATACACTCATGACCTGCAGCTAGTTCTGAGAAGTATACAGCAATTTAAAAGCAAACTCACCTGGCTCAAACTAAAGGTATGAGAAATAGGGGCTAGCTTCACAACCATTAGAAGTCCTTCCTGAAGGAAAAGCATATAGGAGTTTAAAGGATCAGAGAAGCCAGCACTCTGTTATATAGCAAATGTCAGCAGGTGCAGTTAACATTTTTGTCCTTGAATATGTAAATTCTCAGTTTGCAGAGTAGCTACTACACAAACTGGAAGCTTCCCCCCGCAGACAACTTCATACTGTGCAGGTAACATCCTTGATCTGGAAAGTGGGTGCCCCTCTGTCTACACAATGAAGGCTTCCCATTGCATTACACTTTCCATGCTGGTTTGTGTTCCAGAAGATTGTCTGATTGTGCTGTGTTGGACAGCCTCATTTGTGACTTGTATCTGAGTCCCAGGTGACTTATTCAATCCCAGCCAAGACAATGCAGTAATATGGTGCAAACAGAAGTTTCAAGTACCAGGTGTGTTTTTTGTTTAAAACAGGAAGATTAAAAATCTGGAAATGGTGTCACAATTGCTAAAAAATAAATATTTTCCCAATAAGCGCTCTCACGCTAAATATAGGACCTTTAAGACAATGGCAAAATGAATAGTAGCATCACTTTGGAATGGAACACAGCCAATTTCTGTTGCAATTTCTGTCTACTTCAACCTGGAAAAGGCAGGGTGCAAGCCAGAGATGTCATCTTTGGAAGTGGAAAAGAACAGCAGCAACTTGCAGAAGGGTGTTAATCCCACTACCCGACAGTCCCCATATGTGTAGACACGTGCACAGGGTAATCCCTTCCAGTGAAGGCAGAAGGAAGAGTGGGCACTATAATAAGAGGTGATGACATTCCCAACTGAAAAGCTCAGTAAAAATCCTATGACCAGCACACAGGTTAAACATTTAGGCGTCACTGGTGTCACTTCTTGGAAAAGTAGGGAAGGGAAAGTCCACCCTTGGGTGGAGAGCAGCACCTGCCACCCACAGGGAAACAGGATACCAGTATTATAATAGCATGAACAAGCAAAATTACGTTGAGCTTTACAGGAAGAGAAGCAGTGGAGTAAGACTGTCTGTCAGCCACTTATCACCAGATCCTTTATCCAGAAAACCTATTGGGGGACAAAGGACAATTCACCTCCAGTTAATTTCTAGGGTGCTTATCCAGAAGCTAAAGAGAACCTCAAGCGAGATGAGACTGCAACTGGAACTATAAATCTTTTTTTTAAACCAGCCTCACCTGGCACATTCTCTGCCAGCAAAAGACAACTCCTAATGCTAAGGAAACAGCCGAGCTGCTCTTTACTTCAGATAAAGCCCTAGCTTCGTAAAGGAATCACCCTCGAGGTTTTAAGTCCTGCTAATGATACTAACTTTGTTCCATCCTGGGAACACAGAGGAGTTTCAAGTCATCCCAGCACACAGGAAGGTCATCTCTCAGATGAGGTCCAATTTTCCAAATAGTCCCCAGTTGTTTCACATTCAATTAGTTTAATCTAGTCATGAAAGGCATTTCTGCTCTCAACAGATGGTATTTCATGAAATAGACCGGATTGGCCAGTTGTCATTTTAGGGGCAAATTAATTCCCTTTTGCTCAGAAAAATCCCTACAAACCTACCTGAGATCTGCTCCTCTACCAACTCCACACTGCTC